GAAACCAGGCTGCCACCTGGCTCCAGGTTGGCCACAGACTGTAGAGTGGCCAACTTTGGGGTTCTTGGCGAACTGCAGTACAGGTGGGGCAAGGGTGTGGGAGCCAACACCTGTGACCAAGGTGTGGGAGATGAAGCATTGTGCGAGTGGGGAGACAGGAAATCCCTCCTGATAAGGGCCTGCTGTGTGTGTGTGCCACTTGGTCCTTTGGCCTTTCTCATGGACTTGCTCCACCCACATATGTGGAAAAAGCAGGTGTTCCTGTGGCCACCCCACCTGTGCCTCCCTTACTCTGTGCATTCCTAGGGGCTGAAAGCCCAAGATGCCTGCATCTACTGAGCTCCCTGGACCTGCTTTCTGACCCTTTAGGCAATATGCTCCAAGGTGCTCCGTCTGCTCAGAGCCCATCATGCCTGAGCCTGGCCGAGATGAGACCGTGCGAGTAGTTGCTCTGGATAAGAACTTTCATATGAAGTGTTACAAGTGTGAGGTCAGTTGTCTCTTCTGTTTTGCAGAGGTCACTTTGAGCCCTAGAAAAACTTACAGACTTCCCAATGGGAGGGAAGAGTGGTGGGTTTGCCTGTTTTTTGTGTGTGCTCATGTATGTGCAATGGGTTTGGAGTATCAGAGGTTATCAGTGAGAAGCACTGAATGAAGTCGGAATGAAGCTGGGATAGGATGGGATAGGTTCTAAACCTGAAGTAGGCTGGCAGCAGGGAGGTTCCTGGACACTGTCTGCTCCTGCCTTTCGTGCAAGAGAGGCCTGTAAGGAGCAGGGAAGGTAGTATGGTCAGGAAGACATGCAAGTCCAGCACATCAGCTCGAAGCCTATGAATCGTTTATTCTTCCTACTACAGGTATAACTCTAGTACAGTAGGGTGAAACAGGAACCTTCCTGGCCAGTGTCCCTCATACCCTTCCTCCTTTCCAGGACTGTGGGAAGCCCCTGTCCATTGAGGCAGATGACAACGGCTGTTTTCCTCTGGATGGCCATGTACTTTGTCGGAAGTGCCACACTGCTAGAGCCCAGACCTGAGTTGAGGATGGGCCTTCTTCCAGACCACAGGTCCATCCCCCACCACGGACCACCCACACTGAGACCAATCCTTGCCTCTACCCTCCCTGCATTCCAAACCCCTCCCCAGTGTCTCAAGTGCCCTGACCAAGGGCCTCAGCATGGCCTAGAGTTGCTGAGGCCCCGTCCTGGTGCTGAGGCCCAGCCCTGGGCTCCAACCCTTGCTTCTCCTGCAAGGACTGCCCATCATCCTGAGGTTCCTAACCCAAGGGTCACGTTTAGTGCTGCTGCTTTCACTGCTGCACCAATGCCCTTGGCTGGCCTGAGCAGCCTATGCAATGTGCTTGCTGAGGGTGGGAGAAGCCTCACCCTCCAGGAGCCTAGCTCCAGCAGCCTGGACCCACTTTGCCCTGTGCTGCTAGGCTGTGGCCACAGCTAAGATTATAAAACCTAATTTTCCAGAATTGCTAGTAGTAATTGATTCTTTGATAATACCTGAACTCTTGGGGGTGAAATAGAGGGAATCACCAGGGAAAAGAGATCAAAGATAGGGATGAAAGTCAAATCCTGTTTATTTACAAAAATAGATAATATGCATATATAAGTATATATATTAAACCCTCCCCCAACACCCACCCACAATCCCCTTCACTTGTACCCTCCCCCCCTTTATAAACAAAGGCTCCTAGGTCCAAAGGCAGAGTCCTGATTGAATGGGCAGGAGCAGCACCAATAGCCTACGTCTCATAGGCCGAGCAAAGGCCCACAGAGTGACCACAGCCCTGTCCTTGCTCATGGAGGTGGGCACAGGGCTGAAGCATCTTCTCAGTAGCCACTCAGTCCTTAAATCCTTGAATACTGCAGAGAATGCGTTTCTGGTGCCCCGGCAATGTGATTCCCATCTGCGTCAGGTCCCTATGGAAGAGAGAAGGGAGGCCTTGAGTCCAGAGGCTTAGACCTCAACCACCCTCCCATGCCCGGGCTGGCTGGCCCCAGAGTCCTCACTCAGCTGTCAGCTCCAGCACACACTCCATGGTGTCCAGCCCGGCCGAGCGGAAGTGCAGAATGTAGCGCTTCATGCGTATGGACTCAAGCCACTCAGAGACACTTCGGTAAGGGATCCCATCAGAGCCACTCAGGCTGGGCAGGCGTAGGGTCACCCTGTGGGATAGTATACAGGAGCTGGTTGGCCTGGGCCATCGTATTGTAGTCAGATGCTTGCGTATAGCTTCATCTAGGCTCTGCACATAATGGCTGTTATCTGAAGCTACTTCCTGGCCTGTTTTCTGGGTGGCTCTGCTCAAAGGAGTAGGTGGGCAGCTGACTGATCTTTCCATGGGTAGATCTAGGGAGTGTGGCTGCCCTGGGCATGCCTAGTAAAGTGAATTCCCAGCCCTTTAGACATGAATGCATCCTGACCAAGATAAATCAGAAGGCAGGAGAAGTGGCCTAGAGCAAGGTACTGTCTTGCCTTCTCCTAACATGGCCACCTAGGAGCAGCCGTCACTTGCCACATTCAACCCCGACTATTATTCTTATTCTCTGATAGCCACAATACAATGAGTGTTCCTGTAGGAAAGCCAGCCAGAGCCAAAAACCATTAGCAAAGTAAATCTGTTGGGGGAAAAAATATGCAGCATTCCAGAAAGATTAGCACACACAGTCTCCAGCGTCCAAGGGAGTTGTGCTCCAAAAGATAGTCTCAAAACTTGGAACATGGAAAACAATTTCTCCCAGAAACAAGGTTATATATGGTGGGTTTGATACAGAGGCCAGTACACCAGGCTGCCTTTCCCGATAAAGCACTTCAAGCCTTGCCTGGCTACCCAACCTGACCTCCCCCCCCCCCCCCCCCACACACACTTCATTCTCTACATTCTGGCCATGTTTTTGATGAAATACAATTTTAGGAAGCTGGTCAGCTTTTCTTGTTTTCAGAGTCCTACCTTCTCAGCAGGGCTGGTTCCCCTGTAATGGTCTCTCCTGACTCCCCATTCTCAGGTTTGCCATATTGCCTGTTGTTATTCAGCCCTTGCCAGACTGGCTGTGTAGTCAGACCTATTTAGACTCCCTCCTGTCCCCACCCCACTCTAGCAGCCTAAGCTCTCAGGAGCAGGCTCCAGGTTGCAGCAAAGCACTTGTACCAGTCGGGTCCTCCAAGACTGTCAAATCTGTAAGTCTTTCTGCCGAAAGCAAGAATAAGTATGTAGGGAAAGAAAGTGTCCTGAGTTTCAGATGGCCACAGGAACACCAGAGGTGGCATTCCAATCGTAGTGGGAGTAACAAGCAGGGAAATAGAGGGAAGTGGGTAATCTAGATCTAACCCTTTAAATCATGTCTTTAAAAACTCCTCATATTCAACCCAGCTGGTGTGCTCTCTGCTTCTTACCTTCCATCAAGTTACCACCATGGTTGACGGATGCTGCCTCCATTAGCCTGGGCTTTCCTGGCAGCATGGACTAGATGCTACCTCTTATGCTGGAGCCTGTGCAGAGCTCCCCAGGGCCCAGCACTCGGTGGATAGGAGGTGGATAGGATGGAATGCCCATTGTTATTTTTCCAGATTTGACCTCCAATCTCCCATCCTTTTTGAACGTAGTTACCTGGGGTCAAAGTTGGCAATGGTCCTTAGGGAATGGGGGTCAGTGAGCAACTGTTCCAGATGCGCCTGCAGCTGGAGGAAGTGGGGCCGACGGGCACGGTCATAAGCCCAGCAGTTCTTCATGAGCTCATACAGAGGGGCAGGGCAGTCCACAGGAGGGGGCAACCGGTACCCATCTTCGATGCTTTTCATTACCTATAGCAGGAGACAGGTAGAGATACCTATGTAGGAAGCTAGAGTCATTAGAAAACCACTTACACAAGGTTGCTGAGATGTAACTTCTAAGCAGCCCTGACTAGGGTAGCAGAGAAGCAACAAAGAAGGGAACACAGGAAATAGTGCCAAAAAATTGGAGTGGAAAAGAAGTACTCATAGGAAATGATGGGGATTTTAGAAGAGACGGGGTGTATCAGGGTTGCCATGGGGAGATAGTCCAGGTTTACCTCTTGATTGCTCATCTCCCCATAGGGCTTGTCGCCAAAACTCAGCACCTCCCACATCACAATCCCAAAGCTCCACACATCGCTGGCTGTGGTGAAGATCCGGTGGGCGATAGCTTCTGGGGCTGTCCAGCGGATGGGGATCTTTCCACCCTGAGAAGGCATCACATAGAGCGTGATGTTTCAGGGTGTGGGCAGTACAAACCAACGTGGAAAGGGAATCAGAGGTCGCATGCTTACGCATGGTTATCAGAAGACTGGTACATGTGAACATGGATGGGGCTCTAACCTGGGTTTCATAGGTGCCATCAAAGTCATCCAGGAGGCGAGTTAAGCCAAAGTCAGATACCTTGCAGCACAAGTTCTGATTCACCAAGATGTTCCTGGCAGCCAGGTCTCTATGGACATAATTGTGACCACTGAGGTAGTTCATGCCGGATGCTATGCCCAGCAGCATAGCCACTAGCTGGCCAGGAGCTAGCTGGTCCTCCCGTTCCTGTAGCAGGATGAATGTATACATCAGAGGATGAACAGTCTCCCACAAGGCACGAGGCTCCACGGTGTAACCCCTCCTGAGCTGACCCCTGCCCACCTCACCTTCAGAAAGGCATCCAGGGCTCCATTTTCCATAAATTCTGTGATGATCATGATTGGCTTCCCTGAGACACAGTGCACACATTACACACAGACCCAGGTTTCCTCTATTTGGCAGCCTACTCCCCTCTTCCATTGCTTCCACCCCTCTTCCCGTTCCCACACATTCCACTCCAGTTCTTAGGGACCACTGCACATACTTTTTGTGATGACACCTTCTAGACGTAGAATGTGTGGGTGGTTGAACTGGCCCATGATAGTTGCTTCTCGAAGGAAATTCCACCAGTGGCCATCTGGGGATGTGTCTTTCAAGGTCTTAATGGCCACAGTCTTGCAATCTTGGCTGGGGAGTCTCAGGGCTCCCCGATACACTTCCCCAAACTCTCCTAGTTGGGAGGAAAATAAAATTGTGGCCTGATGCAGTCAGACTATCCCATGATCAGGCAGTGACACCCTCTAGTCCTTCAGTTTCTCCTCACTGGAAATCTGAGGAAGGACAGAGCTCAGGTTGCCCTTCTGGGAGAAGCGACAGTCTGAAACTATCATGATGCTCTGCAACCTAACCAGTACTGTCTTCCACGGCTGGCATGCTCATTAGCTTCCCCTAAGTAAGTACTCACTAAATGTAGAGGGACTGAGCTGTGTTTATGAAGGCCAAGCTGGGCCAGGGCTAGTGCCCAAATAACAGGAGGCTGGCCTGTCTCCTGTGAGTGAGCTGCCTGGTCACGGCTCTTGCTGGCTCATCACAGACAAGGACACTACTGAGCTTTGTTCTCCTTTGAGATCTGTTTTCCCTGGTGACCCAGGGGATTGGGGCAGCCCAAGGACACTCGGCCCCTGATGGGGTGGAATGCTCACTTAGGAAGACTCTGAATCTCTCCTGCTTTGGGAACCATCTGAGAACAAACTGCACCTTGGCATGGTGTCACCACTATGGGCAGAGATGATGTGTTTAACATTCTTTATCAGAAAGCCCATAACCACAGAGCAAAGTGTGTAGGAGGCAGAGGTTGCTCCAGGGCATAGCAGTTCAAGAAGGATACAGGATAGAGCAAGCATGGGCTCACCTGGAAACTCAGGCTCGAAGAAAGGAACCTGCCAGCAGCCATGTGCTACCACATACAGGGGACCAGCTGGGGTCACAGCAGCACATACCTTCTCCTATGACCGTGTCCACAATCAGCCATGTTGGGTCCAGTTCCTGAGCAAAGTCTAGGGCTCCCTGTGCAGGGTCCTCATAGGCCTGGAGGTCCACGTAGGGTTTTAGCCACAGCTTGTCCTCTACGAAGGACAAGAGGGCTCAGCCACTACCACACATATATTTCAGGGATCAGAAGGAAGAAGGGAAGAAAGCTGAGCCAGTTCTCAGTACTCTGCTCTCTGGGTGAGCCTGGCTTTAGCTCAAGCAGAGGAAAATCTCTATTAGCAATGAAGCCTCCATGTGGATCCCAGCCCTTTTCTTGTCTATACCCCAGGCTCTTCTGTCCTATTGTTCAGGGTCCACAGCAGTGGCCAGAGCTTAGACACTGGAGTAAATTCCCAGCCTTGAGTTACCCAATCTTCCTATGACTTCTGGCCCAGCTTCTGTCCCCATGCTGTCTGAGTCACTTACAGCTCATTCACTCCCAAATGAGGCCTCCCTTCAATGCCAGCTACTCAAATAGACAGCAGACGATCCCTCTGGCAGAGCCACCTAATGAGGTGACAAGCAGGAAGTCCACATGTCTCAGAGGACTTCAATCTCTTCCTGCTTGGTCTTAGCCCACAGACCTGGCCACCGGGTTGAAGAACACTGTCTACCAGGGTGGCTATGCACTGGTACCAAGAG